TTTTCAACTTGAAAACAGTGAGCCAAGCGTGAAAAATGATGCTGAATGCTTTTTCATTCAGTTTATACGAGTAGAGTGTAAAAATAAACTTGAACCTGCCATTTATCTGCTCTCCCTGCTGGCAGTCTATAGCAGCGTTCTGCTATGCAACGCTACGCTACCTGTTGCAGCGCGTCCGGTGTGCAGTGGTCTTTATAATGTCCCTCCCGCACACATTTCAGCAGCAAAGTAATTCCTGAACTCTTTGAAGCATCATGGAGAGAAATTGAAAACAAGTTGATGTGGACACACCGTCTAGCTCTTTATTGTTTAAAACAGAGAAGGCAAAGCACCTACAGGTTGTCAAAGCTAAGAAGCACTTTTAATGTTTTTCTGCCCTTGAGTTCATACAGTACAGACAGACATTGAGGATGTTATTATGATTATTATCAGTATTATAACTCCATTCTTGAAGTTATACAGCTTTCTGATTCATTTCAGAATCATCTACAGCACTGTTCATCTTTCTAGTTACATGTAAAGCAGCATAGCATATTAACTTCGGGAGCAGCGAAGTTGGTTTCATTTTCGCACATTTGAATTTCTTTCTTCAGTATCTCTTAAACAGAGGGTGAATAAAGGTTCATGTGTAAATGATCAGTGTTAGTGATCAAGACATTTAGTTTATGTCTGAAATTGATGAACACACTGGATTCTGTGAAGTGTTGTAATCGCTATGAGAGCTAAACGACCATCTACGAAGTGGCATTCTTTGGGGTCCAAGAAGATTCAGTCCACCATGTGCCCATGGAGCAGAACACAAAAGGGGGCAAGGTTTTTAGAATGGCCTTTATTTGTAATAAATGTGGGGGCCAAAAGGAGATGAACAAATTTTGTCAACAAATCATGCTGACCGTGATATGGTAAGCGACATATTGTTAACAAATAAATCAAAATACTTAGAAAGCAGTTCAATATTGGGACATGACTTGTATTTGCATAGTTGTTAAACTCGATGCGCTATATAATACTACAGCAGTTAGACCTGTATTTTAGTCTCAGAATACACAAGAATTTTCAAATTAAAATGACAAACATTTTCTCCTACATCAGGGGTCGACAACATGCGGCTCTTTCACTGCCCTGTTGTGGCTCCACAGCAGAATTAGATTTGTAGATAAAAATAAAATAATCCTCCTTTACAGTAAAATAAGTTTTAACAATAAATGGTCTTAAATACTGGAGTTATTGTAGAACTGCTAATTCACCCTTTAACCCTGAAGGTCTGCTGGTCACCATAGCAACGACAACGGTCTCGCCTAGCTAGTATCTAATGAAAAGGCAAAGAGAAAGATTTAAGACAAACATCGATGATTTGGAGACGAATGGACTTATTTGCATTTATAAGCACTCAGCTGGTTTCCTGATACGTTTAATCTGCAGTAAGAAACTATCAGAAACCAGAAAGTCGTGAGGCTTTTACCAGCTACTTGTTCAGATTTTTGTGTTCAACCTTAAATGGTTCAGCAGTTACATTCTGACACCTTAGGAACAATTTAAGGCGGAACGGCAAAATTAGAACAAGAAGCTGGTAAATGAGACGTTGACTTCAGCCTCGGAAAAAGTCAAATGTTGAGAGAAATTTTATAAAAAACTATTCCACTGTTGCAGAAAAGTTTCCTGCTGGAGATGCGAGAAAACGGCTCTAGCTGAGCTGAAGCTTAAGCAGAGCAAAGTCTGCGTTTTCATCTAGTTTATATTATATCTTTAGCCTGTACTAACACATCAGCACATACTGAGACATATTTACAGCCAAGATGGTTAAATGGACATAAACTGTTGAGGCTCCCGAGGTGGTCAGATTTTTGTTTAAAGGACAAAATGGCTCTTCTTTGCATTTGGGTTGCCGACACCTGTCCTAGGAAAAGGGGGTTAATTTCTGAACTTGCCTCCTTTTTCACTGCTCGTGAGTTTTCCTGTCCAACAAATAATTGGATGGAGCTGACTCAAGTATGTGATGACACAGAGAAAGTGCATTTCGAACTGATTGAAAAACTCAGCTCAGATTCCCAAAAGAAACAAAATATTCGAGTGTCTTGCTTGTGTTTAACCATCATTTCATTTGTTTTAGTTTAAGACTAGACTTTATTTGTGTTAAGGCAAACCTGGCCTCCAGTCTGCATTTAGTGTGGTCTGCCTCATAATTAGTTTGTTTGGTAGCTCTTTACTTCTGATTTTGTTTTAACTCGCTGTGGATGCTGAAGACTGTAAATATGAGGCATGTAGCGGTCGGCCCATTGATGGTATTAGAGCAGACTCCATCATAATTAGATCAGTCTCTCTGGTTAATTTGACTCCTTATGCACAATGCTAACTGCCAATTAATGCAATTAAACGAACACCCATGCCAGAATAAATGTTATATTACGCAGTGCTTTTGTCTCGGCAGTGACAGCACAGGGGTTTTACGTCTCTGTGATAGAAATCAGAAGTAATGTTCTGCTCTCTTTGCTCACTGCCATGCGAGTGACCTGATTAATTAGTAGATTGGAGAATGCCGTTCAGCCCTGCTGGACTAAGTAATGATTAATAATGACAGCACTAGAAAGCTGTCCCAAAAAACGAATCTGCGTTTAGGCAGACTGTTGAGTTAAAAAAAAAAAACATTCTCTACAGAGTTGAAGTCGAGTTTTCTTCATGTCTTTAAAGGTTTGTTGACAACATTTTGAAATTGACCCATCCATGCTCCTCTCACAGATGCATTCTTTCATAGGTACTGTTGAGTTTTACATTACGTTCTTTTGGCGCTACTGTTCTAGGTTTTACAAAACTTCTTGTCGTTAGTGTTGCTAGGTTTTACGTAATGTTCTTTGGTGCACTTTGTAGTTCTACAGTTACAGACTGTAGTCCATCTGTTTCTCTGATACTTTGTTAGCCCCCTTTTACCCTGTTCTTCAGTGGTCAGGACCCCCATGGACCCTCACAGAGCAGGTACTATTTGGGTGGTGGATCATTCTCAGCACTGCAGTAACACTGACGTGGTGGTGGTGTGTTAGTGTGTGTTGTGCTGGTCTGAGTGGATCAGACACAGCAGTGCTGCTGGAGTTTTTAAACACCTCAGTGTCACTGCTGGACTGAGAATAGTCCACCAACCAAAAATATCCAGCCAACAGCGTCCTGTGGACAGCGTCCTGTGACCACTGATGAAGGACTAGAGGATGACCAACACAAACTGTGCAGCAGCAGATGAGCTATCGTCTCTGACTTTACATCTACAAGGTGGACTGACGAGGTAGGAGTGTCTAATAGAGTGGACAGTGAGTGGACACAATGTTTAAAAACTCCAGCAGCACTGCTGTGTCTGATCCACTCAGACCAGCACAACACACACTAACACACCACGTCAGTGTTACTGCTGTGAAACTACAAAGTGCACCTATGTGGTAAGTGGAGCTGATAAAATGGACAATGAGCGTAGAAACAAAGCCTGATTGGTGTAAGTGTCTGCGTGTACACAGGCATGTATAACTGTAAAAGTGGTCCGTGCCAGGTGACGTATGGGCTGTGGGAAGTGAAGTGGAGCTGCAGAGAAAGGGGCAGGAAATGGAGAACAATAAGGGAATGAAAGGGAGAATGAGCGAGAGTGATGCTGGGGTCAGAGAGTTCACTTCAACACAAGCATAATAAATTTACAGAATGCCATTGACTTGTTCCCTGCGGTTGAATTATGCTTAACATGAGTAACGTAAATGAACTCTGTGCTCATTTGCCAACTGCTGCTTTTCTAATTTGTTTGAAAGGTGTTCCCCCATACGTTCGCAGTGGTTTGATGTAATGAAGCCCCAACACAATCACTCTGTCTGAACTGTGTTGTAGCTTGGAGCTACAATTAATATTTCATTCATTGGTTTGTGGGAGAGCATGTTTTAACCCAGCTGCACTAATTAGTGACCACTGGCAGTGCTAGTAGAGCTCGTGTAGTTGAAGTCAAGAATTCACATTTGGTTCATGTTTCCTAAGTTTTTCTTTGATAACATGAGGTTGGCGAATAATCAAATTCCATAAAATTGTTTCACTTAATCCAGACAGTCAGCATGTTTGGTGTCAAAATTTTGCTTTTTTAGTTTAGCTGTGAATCTACAAGGCAGATGTTGCTACTAAACACTAGAAAAATCCCCCAAAAATCCCCAAAAAATCCCCAAAACGTCTCTCAACCTGCCTAACCTGCATCCAGGTCTTCATTAAGGTCAGGCGGATTACTCAGTGTGGTTTGGGACACAGTATAACTTAACGTGAACTGTAAAAAAGAATCAAATTTATATACATTTTTTCACTTAATACAGACAGTCAGCATGTTTGGTGTCAAAGTTTTACTTCTTTATTTTAGCTGTGAATCTACAAGGCAGATGTTGCTACTAAACACTAGAGAAGTCAATAGTCACCCAAATCTTCTCTGTAACTACATCCCCAAAACGTCTCTCAACCTGCCTAACCTGCATCCGGGTCTTCATTAAGGTCGTGCAGACTACTCTGTGTGGTTTGGGACACAGTGTAACTTACTGTGAACTATGGAGATGAATAAAACTTCACCCTGTAATCGAATGATGTGGGCTGCCATGTTCGAAAACACGAGTGTTGTTCCACTTTCTGTAGCATTCTCACTGCAGGTTTGTTTTGAGGCGTTCTGCCGTTGTTTTCTCTTTGCTTGACAGAGAAAAGGATGTTTAGAAACGATTGTGAGAGGCATGAAAGTCTTTGACTTTGCAAATGGTCACTCGATGTATGCAGCTTACTGTGATTGGTCAATGCCATGTTGTGCGCGTTTGATGTAATAAGGCTGTGTGTTTTGATCACCCTGATCTAACCCATCTGGTCTTGCTATTGCAGCAGGCCAGCGATGTTGTCATGTCTGAGTATTATTTTGTAGCCTCTGTCTGGTTATGCTGTTTCTCTGTCCGTCATAGTGAACACCATTCTGGAGCCTTTCACTTATTGCTTCCTATTTCTGTCCACCATTTTAGGGACATCACCTACAACATCCTGTTTGAGGCCGTTACCACCCTCCTCGTCCTGCTGTCCTATCAGCTCTTCCAGAAGGACATTCTGAGGGAGGGGCTTATCTACCGGTGCTTGACCAGGGGGCGATGGTGAGTACGTCTAATCAGGCTATTGCGTTTTTTTGTTTTCTACTCTGTCACAGTGCTGCCGTCATTAAAGGTTTGGTCAGGCAACAAGGGATTTCTTCTTGCAGTGGAACAATAGAAACCATGTCGCCCTCTACACTTCATGTAGTGTATTGCAGTTTACCAAAATTAGTATCATATTAACACTACAGTGTATTATAAAGCATTATAGAACCATTTTTTCCTCTTTAAAGCTGCTTGAAGATTCACATGAGAACAAAATACTTTCAATACTCTGTAGTATTTACACCGATCAGGCATAACATTATGACCACCTCCTTGTTTCTACGCTCATTGTCCATTTTATCAGCTCCACTTACTATATAGGTGCACTTTGTAGTTCTACAGTTACAGACTGTTGTCCATCTGTTTCTCTGCACACTTTGTTAGCCCCCTTTTACCCTGTTCTTCAGTGGTCAGGACCCCCATGGACCCTCACAGAGCAGGTACTATTTGGGTGGTGGATCATTCTCAGCACTGCAGTAACACTGACGTGGTGGTGGTGTGTTAGTGTGTGTTGTGCTGGTCTGAGTGGATCAGACATAGCAGTGCTGCTGGAGTTTTTAAACACCTCAGTGTCACTGCTGGACTGAGAATAGTCCACCAACGAAAAATATCCAGCCAACAGCGTCCTGTGGGCAGCGTCCTGTGGGCAGCGTCCTGTGACCACTGATGAAGGACTAGAGGTGACCAACACAAACTGTGCAGCAGCAGATGAGCTATCGTCTCTGACTTTACATCTACAAGGTGGACTGACAAGGTAGTGGTAAGGACCCCCATGGACCCTCACAGAGCAGGTAATATTTGGGTGGTGGATCATTCTCAGCACTGCAGTAACACTGACGTGGTAGTGTCTAATAGAGTGGACAGTGAGTGGACACAGTGTTTAAAAACTCCAGCAGCACTGCTGTGTCTGATCCACTCGTACCAGCACAACACACACTAACACACCACCACCACGTCAGTGTTACTGCAGTGCTGAGAATGATCCACCACCCAAATAGTACCTGCTCTGTGAGGGTCCATGGGGGTCCTTACCACTGAAGAACAGGGTAAAAGGGGGCTAACAAAGTATGCAGAGAAACAGATGGACTACAGTCTGTAACTGTAGAACTACAAAGTGCACCTATACAGTAAGTGGAGCTGATAAAATGGACAATGAGTGTAGAAACAAGGAGGTGGTCATAATGTTATGCCTGATCGGTGTATGTAATACTAATTTTGGCATTAGCACCGTAAAAAGTGTTGTCTTCTTTTATGGTGCAATGAAAGAAGCCATATTGCCCCCTACACTTCCTATAAAGGATTGCAATTTGTCAAAATGGTTGTTTTGTTATATGTTTATACAAGCATCTTGTAGTTGCATATTTCCAAAGACAGCGAATCATTGCGACCCTGGCATGGGTCTATGAGTAAGGGGCCTTTAGTAGGGCTCAGTGTCTGTATAATAGAATGGCAGTTTTTTTTAGTCAGTTAGTAAGTTATCAAAAACAATATCCAAAAATCTGTCATATCTGTGTGTTTATTTGTAAATGTACAAACTGACATTGGGACATTGATGGTTCATAAAGTAGCGGCGGAATGTGTTAATGTCTATTTTTTGAGAATAAGTTTAGTTTCGCTAAGGTGACCTTGACGTGGCCTTTGGAGCACATAAAGCCAAAAATAGATGTCGTCTGAAATTTCCTATGCCAGCTTACTGTTAGAGACAGACGGCCATTGACAGGATCCTGCCGTTCTGAATGGAAATAAGTGTCTTCATTAATTCAGCAGCTGTTCCAATCAAGAGTGGGACTTAAGTTCATTCAGAGGTCTCATTAGCATCGTCAAATTTGCCTTGAAGTTCACCTCACAGATCTCAGTCAGCAAAGCTGTAGTTAGACGACCTGTGTACTTTGCCATGGCTTGGCTTTGAGGGCAGTTATAGGGCATCTGCTTGACACTGCAGAGTGTGGAAATCCAGAATTAAGCCTTGATTAGAAGGGAGGCATGATCTCCACAATTAAGAAGCATTTTATGCTCACTTTTGTCAAGTGGTACAAAAAAAGGGATGCAAAATGTCGAGTGTGAACTGCACAAAGTTGCAGAAGAAGTGAGCACTGGCTAGCCAGTGGCCACAACATCCTGGCTACTAACTTGATGCTCCACAATGCAAAATAACTGTTATGTGCCCCTGTAATTGTACCTAGGGGCAAAGGGGAAGTAACGTGGAGTATGTGATGAGGGGTGGAAGGGAAAGACACAAACAATGGGAATAACTCCTAGACAATGCTTTACTTTCCAGAAATAGGGGTATAATACAATATTGCACAACAATCGCCTATAAAGGTGTTGTAGTGAAATAGGAAAAGGAGATTTGAAAATGAATAAAAAGAAAACATCCAGCTTGGCAATAGTGTGAATCATAACCGGCTAACAAGGTTAATTTATAAAGAACGCTGGAAGTAAGGATACTGTGTAAAAGACCAGCAGCAATGGTGGACTGTGGACGATGCCAAAGGGATGAAAGGAATGAAACTCCTAACCTGCCTAATTGGAGCTTACCTGCACAAAAATGTCTGTATGAAGCGATACAACCATGTTAGATGTAAAGGTGCGCCCAAACTGCCTGTCCACTCATCGCGCTCTGAGGAAAGCAATGACGAGAGAGTGAGAGAGGAACAAAGCAAGGCCAGGGCAGAAATTCACCTGCCGACAATCTTAACAACAGCACAGTAAATCACCAAACTGCCAGCAACCTAAAGCCCTCACAGACACACAACGCTGTCACCCCTTTATACCTTCCTTTTAAGCCTTTTATCTCCAAACACCCGCCCCCATTCAGTCAGCAGTGCTTCCGATTGGAGGATGAGGGTACAGCAGTTGAATTCCAATTGGAGGATGAGTACACCAGCTGAACGCCATCGACACAGCCAGCTGAACGTTGTGTTGCTGCTATTAGGAAGATTGGTAGATGGAAATGGAAGGGAAAAAAAAAACACTGGGGGAGAAGAAGAAAAAAAAAAGCATACATGCCATCCCGGGGCATAACAGTAACACTGCGAACATGACTTTACATGTACTTTTAATTTAATGCAAACTTTGCCTCCAAAAGAAAACATTGTCTAACGAGGCTTCATTTCATTTTGACTGTTTCAATGAAACAAATCAGAATTGTGAAGCACGCTGATGAGCCAAAACATGACCACTCGCCGATAAAGTGGCTAATGTTGATTATTTCTTAAAAACATCACGTGTCAAGGTCTGTTAAATATTAGACGGTAAGCAAACAGCCAGTTCCTGTAGTCGACTTGTTGGACACAGGGGAAATGGGCAGGTTTGATGACCTGAGCATCTTTGACCAGGGCCAGATCATTATCGTTGTCAGACATCTCTGAAATGGCAAGGCTTGTCGGGTGCTCCCGTTCGGCAGTGGTGTGTACCTATCAGCAGTCGTCCGAGGAGGAACAAGTCATGAACTGGCGACAAGGTGTTAGGCGTCCAGGGCTCATCGATGCACGAGGGCAACGAAGGCCGTCAGAAGGGATAGACTTGTGGCTACTGTGGTACAAGTCACAGAAATGTCTAATGATATTACGAAAGGATTGTTTCACAACACAAAGTGCATTGCAGTCTGCTGTCTGTGGGGCTGTGTATCCGCAGACTGGTCAGAGTGCCAATGCTAACCCCTGTCCACTGTCGAAAGCTCCTACAGTGGGCACGTGAGGGTCGGAACGGAACCTTGGAGCAACGGAAGAAGGTTGTCTGGTCCGAAGAGTCCTGTTTTCTGTTGCATCACGTGGATGGTGCTGGGGAAGGGATGGCACTGTGAGAAGACAAGCTGGTGAAAGGAGTGTGATGCTCTAGGTAATATTTTTTTTAATTGCGGGAAAGTCCTGGGTCAGGCAATTCACGTGGACGTTATTTTAAGTGCATCCTGCCACGCTTCACACTTTGTTCCGGAATAGTTTGAGGAACATGCTGAAGAGTTCAGGGTGTTACCCTGCCCTGCAAATCCCCCAGATCTTAGTCCAATCGAGGATCTGTGGGATGTGCTGGAACAAGAAGTCGGATCCACAGCAGCTCCACTTCGTAACTTACAGGAATTAAAGGATTTGCTGCTAACGTCTTGGTGCCAGATACCACAGGGCACCTTCAGAGGTCTTATGGGTCAGACCTGTTCTGTTGGCACATGGAAGACCAACAGTATGTCAGGCAGGTGGTCATGATTGGCTCAGCGGTGTTAACAAAGCACGCAAAGTTTTAAAAACTTCCCACTGCGATTGCCTACTGCTAATTTCTCAAGGCCTCTTCTTGCGAAACGCGATTTTCGAGGGTTGTGCGAAGCCGAAAGCGCCTTTGCGAGCTTATAAGCTCACATACTTTCTGCGGTTTCGTGTTGCCTGTTGTGGACGCTCCACGTTGCTGTGACATTTTATGACAGGTTTCATGACTGCTGGAAAACGATTCTTTCAAAGTTCTAACCGTGGCGGCGTTTGAGTTCTGAATACCGCCACCATTTAAGGTGGAACAGGAAAAATCGAACAAGAAGCTGGTGAATAGAAAGCCAACTTTAGCCTCGTCCTCATGTGAACCTAAATATAAGACAACCTGTATGTTTTGGTGCTTAGTACTAGTTAGTTCTACCAAATAACAGAGTTATAACATCTTACATTTATGAAGTATTCATTGTTTATTTAACAAACGGGCGTTTCACGGTGAAATCTTACTGTGTCTGCCAAAGCCGAAGCTCCTCAAAGTTGTCTATCTTTGTTTAATGGCACGCTTCTTTTTTACCGCCCAATCAGAGGCTTTGCCGCGTAGCGTCTTCGTCCGCACAACATCTGCAGTTCTTTGTTTTCTCCGCGATTTACGTCATATTGTTCACTGAAGCCAGGCGAACATCGTCTCTGCAAGAAGTATGCTGAGGCCTTCAGGGCCATCTTATTGAAAAAGAAAATTAAAATATAATGCTGTTCAGAGAGCGAGAGAGAGAGAAATTATTTCTACCACTCCAACAGCAGCCCTCATTATTTTTCTAACCAGTCAGTGGGTGAACTTCAGCTTCACTGGCCTTTTTATTTCAGTCTGTTAAGGCTTTCTGGCCTTTGGCGTTGTAGCACTGGCTTCATGGAGCAGAAAAAAAGCCCAAATCAGCTTGGATCCAGAACCACACTTACTTTATCAGAATCATTCCCACATTTCGTGAAAAAGCAAAAGCATTCAGCCATGATTACAGCATGCCGGCTAGCCAGCTCCACTCCGGTGGTCCGTTCGGGATTGGCTTTAATGCAACATTAAGGGCAGAGAACAGAAGATGTTGTTATGAGAACGCTGTTGATGAATTGTTTGTGTTGCGTAGCCCGTCTCAGTCAGGTTTTAATGTAACCTTCAGTGCTGAGTTTTGCTGTTGAATTGTGTAACTGTACATTGTGAAAGCTGTTTGAAAGCCGGTGTTGTGTAGTCAGTCTGTCTGAGTTGTTTTGAAGTGGTGTAATGGTCTGTGGTCGTTGGCCTTTGTTTTTTTGGTTGCTTTTGTTTTGCGAATTGCGCTATGACTGTATGTCTGAAGTCCACCGGGAGGCCGGCCAGGGCACGCAGGAAAGTCTCCTAACACCACACACACTCGCTCGCTAAGGCATAGAATTTCTCTTTTGATACACAATTTTTTTCTCATTCTCTCAGTCGCTCATGTACGCACATAGGCCTTACAATTCAGCAGTGTGTTCTAGACTAAACTAGACTAGACTCTAGACTCTATTAACTGTTTACCATTAAATTGATAAATAAAAAATTGCTCAACCAGTGCCATCAGTTGAAAAACGTTAATTACATTTAATTTCATTTTCAGTAAACAGCAGTTCCCGGGTTTATTGTTTGTTTTAACTGTACGCGTGAAGCCGCAATAGGTTCCGATAGACAGACCTGCTGAAGATGAAGCACAAAAGAAGGTTTGGTTTTGAATGTGTTTGTCCATATAAACTAGAATTAAAAAAAGGTACAACATAGTGTTCCAAGGAGGAAAAAATGATCAGTGTGTAATTATTAAATTAATAACTGACCTAACTAACCTCTTATTGACCAGGGTATATTTTTTCGTTTGTCCATCTGAATTTACATGACCAACTCATAAGGTTAATTATTCAGTAACTGCATGAAATAACTGTAAATTTTTATTTTATTTATTTTTATTTACTTTTTTTTTGTAAAAGCTCCCCTCAAATTAACCGAATGTGTTTTATGATCTCACATATTGCTATATGCTTACAATTTACTGCTGAAAGCCAAAAATCTTAGACGCTCTTTGTATTATTTTATAAAAATCATTTTTACAGAGCAGATCACTGAAGAGACGCCATCTGTTTATAGTTTATAGCCCAGATTTGTGGAAAAATGGGTCGACTTTCAGTAAAAAAAAAAAAAATGCAGTTCAGCTTCTTTTATTATAAGGGTTTAAAATTACATCACCCATCTATTTGACTGGAAAGAAGACAGTTACGGCTCTCATATGACCCCCACCTTTAGAATGTAGCTTATGAAATATGAAAGTTATGAAGAATATGACGAAGCGCGTTTTGGAACCACCGGTGGTCTCAAGGAGTTGAAAAGGATAAGGCGATGCAAAAAAGTAGCTGTCCTGCTGTTTTATCTACTCTTTTCCATTAATAATGCTATTTCTAAGTTTATTTGCTATGTAAATCCTTCTGAAATCAAGCACATTAATAGGGAGTTTATCCCCCTTTTCTTCACTACCAGCGTCTACTCTTCTGGGAAGGCTTTACACTAGATGTTAGAACATTTGCTGTAAGGATTTGACTGCATTCAGCCACAAGAGCATTAGTGAGGTCAGGTACAGATGTTGGACGATAGAAACCAGACATCCGGAGAATTTGATGCACACCCACGGTGAAGAGGTACATGGAAGGCATTGTAAGGCAAAGTAGCCCCCGACGAAAAGTTGTTTTTTCAGATTTACCTCTGTTTATCAAAGTTATATATAAAAACTCAGAAGAGGTGAACGTTCCCTGGTTGTTTTGTTAGATTTATGTCAGTTTCTCAATAATGAACTGTTCAACATCAAACCGCTCTAAATTGAATTATGAATTAAGGATTTCCCTTTTTAAGATGAATAAAAATCACTCCTTCCTAAGATATGTCTGTAGTTAGAATAGGGAAGACACAAAAATATGCAGGCAGGGTTACTGCTATACTGTAATGATCCTTACTCCTCTCTCTCTCTCTCTCTCTCTCTCTCTCTCTCTCTCTCTTTCTCTCTCTCTCTCTCTCTCTCTCTCTCTCTCTCTCTCTCTCTCTAGTCTGGCTCTAACGAGTCGTTTGGTGAAGACCCTGCTGTATAACTTCATCCGGCAGGAGAAGTGTCCTCCTGCTGCACATCTCTTCCAAGCGGAGGCAGACGGAGGTGGGCTGCTGTACGGCCTGGCGTCAGGGGTGGCCAGTGAGTAAAACACACACGCACATCCACGAGCACCACATTCTCAAGGGAATCGTTCTGTAGTCTGGCGTCAGAGTGTGGGAGTATCACATACACACACTGAATGGAGACGGTGTGCTTTGTGGAAACACTGATTGAGGGTTTTTTCAGGCTGAATCCCAGAGCCAGTGTGCTGAGCTGATGGAGCTACATGAGTTCGCACAAGTTCTAGCTGTTCATTCCCTCTGTGCTTGTCTCTGGGAAGTCCTTATTACATAATCCGTGCTAGCTCTGTAAAAGCCTCTCCTCTCATCCCAAAGCTTTCAAACCTCTCTTGTAAGCATGTGGCGTTTAGTGGCTTCTCCTTTGATCAGGAGTGAGGAGACGACTGGGATGTGAAACTGACTGCTGTGGTTCAGTGGTGTTGAGTTCAGAAGTGTTACTCTGGAAATAAGTAGAGGTCTAATGTTTTGAACGGAAACATCGAAATTGACAGATTTCAACATTAAAAAGCTTGAACTTCAGGCTTGGTTCTCCCCCTGGGTCAAACCGAGAAGTGTAATTTCAACATCAGCCGCAAAAAACCGACCCTCAGGACTGCAGAAAGTGTTTTCGGTGGGATCTGTTGGCCATACTGTCGGTCCACAAACTGAGAGGAAGGAAGAGAAAGAGACATGAAGTGTGAATATCTCAGACACTGCATCTTAGTACACCTACTTGGTCATGCAATCTGACTATAAGCCCCTCCGACATCTGAAAAAATCCAACCAAATGTACAGAGGGAAGAGAAAAATGACAAAAGAGAATCCAAATGAAGAAAGTTCTCCAGCCAGCAGCCACATTGGGATTATTAAAGCTTGAGGTTTAGTAATATGGATCGGAATGGTCAGCCAAATGGTTCGGGGACTTAACTAGAAAGCCTGCTAGAAACAAACAGTTACCGTATTTGGCTACATAATTGTTCCTTACACAGCTAACCTTCCTTATTTGTAAAGCAGCCTTTGAAGTAGTTTGTGAGAGAGCTGATTTATTCCAGTCTAAATAGAGTAACCAGTGAAAGTTGAGTTTACAGTGCATTTTATTAAACCTTAATTCAGTGTTTTCTTTCTAAGTAGGTTAATCTTGCTCTTGTGGGAACACAGGATACTGTGGGGTGCATTTGAGACCCAGAGCAACGTAAGCCACGACAGACGTGTAGATGATGGTACGGCAACCTCAATAGGGACTTCTGTTTACAGAGTTCAAGCCAAGAGTTTTACGCGAATGAATTGAGGTGTCAGTCTTTTGAGAGTGAGAGAAAGAGAGACGTGCGGCTTGGCTTGCTTCTGAGGTGGGGTGGAGGCAAGCGGCAGAGCCAGAGGAGATGCCAGAGGGAGTTTCTGTCAGTTCTCTGGTGGGTTCTGCGTGTCGCCTCCGTAAGGGAGAGCTCAGTCTGCTAGAGAGAGGGGGTAGTGAGAGAGTGACAGAGGTGCTGAACGTGGCCCGCCCTCATTCGGCACGTTGGACAGCACTTCACTGGCTTGGAGGCTTTGATATTTCACGTATATGAGGGACTCCTCCCCAATTCATATGCAAAATATGTATTGTGAACTTTCCAATGTCCACTAAATGTTTTATTTTGCAAAAATTTTCCTCTTTCAAAGTAAACTGGGATTTCCTCATTTTGAGTAGCACATTCATAAGAACTACCCTAACTAATGATGTGGTTTGCATTTCCCACACAGCAGTTTAACAGAAGTGTTTCCCAACGGCCTCCTTCTCTTTGATCAAGTCAGGACAACTTACTGAGAGAAGGCTAACAAGCAATAATGAACCTAGCAGGCATAACTGGGCTCTCAAGCCAGCTCATCTGTCTGCATGTAATCCATTCATTCATTCGTTTGACCATTTGTTCCACTGTTTTGTTTATTTGAACACTCGTTCTCCCACCGCTCTTTCGTTCGTCTGTCTGACTGTCTGTCTGTTTTTCGGTCTGACTGTTCATTCGTCTGTCTGACTGCTCGTTTGTCTCTCGAAACCTTCATTTATTTTTGTCTGATGGCTAATCTGTTCATCTGCACGTAGTCCGTTCATTCGTTCGTTTGACTGTTCACTCGATTGACTGTTCATTTAATTTGTTTGTCTGAGTGATCGCTCGTTCATCTTTCTGACCGCTCGTCCGTTTGTCTGATCGTCTGTTCGTTCATTCGCCTGTCCCAGTGTTTATTCATTTGTTTGTTTATTCTTCTGTCCTACCGTTTATTTAGTCAGCCACTGCAGTTTTGCTCTAACTTCTTTAAGATGGTTGGTTTTAGGGAGCCATGAACACAGGACTGATTGGTGTCAGATGCATGCGAATCAGAATATTAGGCCACACCCAGACAGTTATCAGATAGGTCTGATAAGCGATTTTTGAGACATGCTTTGTTATACTCTTGTCTTTAAATTTTGCTGGATGTTTAATATAACACTTATTTGTAATATGATATAAACAATATGATATTTACTGTGTTTTCTTGGGACTTCCAATAAAAGCTGTTCTTTTGGAAGAGAGTGTATTAAAAACAAAAAGAAAAAAAAATAGGAAAGCGAAGCGAATCTTGACATTAAAATTGAACTGACAAGCCGTACAAAGGTTGGTGTCTTGAGTGTTTGTCTTTGATGGATTTTAGGAGGTGTAAATATCAAAAACGGAGTATGATGGTCTGAAAGGGACTCCAGGAGATTGTCAGGGTGTCCAGTCTTTCTTATGCACTTCTGTATATTGAAGAGTGACAGTTCTGACCCATGCTGACCTTTCTCGCTTGCACAGCATTCATGAGGTGTCTCTAACCAGTCAAACATCTTATTCCCAGAGTGCTCACATGGATTCAGCCAGCAGTCACCTCCCCTCATTATCTGTCCGTCATATCTGTTCACCCCCCAGCCTCCATCTCTTTCCTTCTCTCTCTTTCCCTCCCCCCTTCTCTGAGTGACAGGCAGGGTTCAGCAGCAGGGCACATGAACAGCTCTGTCAGTTTGATTTGCAGTGCTGTTGAAGGCTCCCACACAAAATTATACATAAACATAAATTATGCTCTCAGGAAGGAGCATCTAGCATGTATCACCATGCTGTGCTTGTGTGCGTTAAAGGAATACTCCAGTGTTTTTCAACCTGATCTCCATCTGCTGCTTCTGTCTGGTATGGCCGGATACCACGGACAGTAATTTCAACCTGTGTTTACCTGTACTTTGAAAATAACAGAAAACTCACTTACAATAGAAGCCAATGGGCAGCTTCTTCAGCACCTGTATGACACAGATGTGGCAGATGTTGCTGAGGTATTGTAGTATAATGTAGTCACAGACATTAAATGCAAATATGTGCATTGGTATAGTGGGGGTTTGTATGGTGTAGTGGTTAACACCCCTGTCTTCTAGACTGGAGTTCAATCCCCCCGCTCAGGCGAGGACCCTACACTATACCTATAGGAGTCCTTGGGCAAGACTCCTAACACTACCTTTGCCCAGCTGTGTAAAAATTATGTAAAAATTGTAAGTCGCTCTGGATAAGAGTGTCCGCCAAATGTAAATATTCAGTAAATACAGTAACCCCATACTGCAGGTTACATGACACCTACTTAAAACCTTCATGCCAGCTGACATAGACCTTCATAAACATTTCTAAGCACTTGCATGACCATTAATCTTTGGCAGAAAGTATTTTGATAGTAGTTCCCTAACGGAGCTGGTTCTAGTGCTGAAGCTACCACAGCTCTCAGAATCTCACCGCTCACTGAGAATTTAACCTGTCTTTGGCTCTCTGTGCTTCCATGCAGTATCAGAATAGAAACAAATGATTGTTCATCATGCTAAATGTTAGTAGCATGCAGTTGGATGTGCTCGCCAATAAGCTTTTCAGAATGAGATACAGGCCTAGCTGATGAACTAGGAGATATAGACAGGCCATAGAAGTTGTTCTTTTAACCTCGCTACAGGCTATACATGCATCTCATGTATTCAGCTGTAACACATTCCGTAATTGGGTGGCCAGAAGGGTGGCCATGCTTCCAGGGTGGCTCTGGCCACCCCTTGGCTACGCCTCTGTTTCAGACACTGCCCTTGATTAATCGACTGCTGCCCACAGCATTGACTAGTGGATTTATTAGTCAACTACCAACCTCTAGCTCCAGTAGGTGTCACTTGTCATAGAGGCTGTATTTGCCAGTGCTAAGTTGACATGACATCTTTGTCAAGTGACATAGATTTTTCTGACAATATGGTGCATCATGACACTTTCTGGGGTGAAATGATATAGACTTTATAGCTCAGTGTATGTTGTAGTGACATATTGCTCACATAATGAGAGAGCTTGCAAAGTCAGGCTGGTTGAACAAATGTGAGCACCTTTCTCTGGTGAGTTCCTTTTCACCATTTTAAAGATTTAAGCTACGTCAAACTATTGGTTCGAAGTCAGAGCAGAAAATATTTGTTTAACTGACTTGGGCTTTAGACTAAAATCCTTTTGCTTTTATTTGCCCTATACTTAAATTATATTTGTTTCATTAAAACAAATGATTATACATTCTATAGTTTTGTAGTGTTATAACACTACAAAAACTTCACCAGATGTTTCGGTAGTGACTGTTTCGGCAGTGACAATTTTAGCTAATTTTGAGCAGAACATTACGTGACTAGCAAACTCAGCTTTGAACATTTATACACACATAAAATCAGAATATTTTTCATTAAAACACAAAAAGTATTTCTTAATTGCAGAAAATTTGTTTCAGCAGTGACAGTTCTTAATGTTCCACACTGATTTTCAGACTTTGGGACACATTTACTTCATAACAGTGGGATCTAACTGCACACCTTGTGGCCTTGAGGGACAGGAGCACAGACTCAGCTCTAAAATGCAGGGGTGTGGCTGAAATAAGGCCCCGCCTACAGACTAAAACGTTTTGTGTTTTTTTTAAATAATTTTTTACTGAGGAACTGCAGTTGAAACTAATTCAGTAGAATGGTCCATATTCTCTAAGCTACAGAATTAGCTATTGTAACGT